CCCATGCTTGATTCAAAAATTGTATGACTCATACAGCAATCGCTATCACTTGACTTAAAATATTTTTGCCCTTCCTTGCCTTAAAAGGAGTGCCCTTAGCCGTGCTGATGTTGCTACATGCCTTACTTCTTGCCTATCTCACACTGCAAATTTTTTCTAAGCTCAATACTAAACATTAAATCTGTTACGAAAAAAGAACTAAACAAAATGAACACAAAACGATCAGCTTTAAAAAAAAAGGACTCATAACTGGAAAAACCAAATGAAAAAAGAATTTTAACAACAAATACTTTTTCACACCCAACCCAGTTCTGCGGAATCAGAATCAACGTTGAGTTTAAGCAAGCAAATGAGCCAATTGGAGTAAAGTGACATGCAGATTTAAATTTTTCCCACTTGTGACGAATGCAGCTATCAATTTTTTTTGCATGCTAGCATGCTTGTTAACATTCGTGTCAGTCAGCTGTTGGCTCTCACGCTCACCAATAGAATCTTCCTGCCTATTCATGGCAGCCATCTATTGGCTCTCACTTTGGCAGTACAAAATGGCTGCAAACTACATGAAAACTGCCACAGAAGCATGAAAAAATTGATTATTTCCACTATTGATGGGAGTTGGGAAATGCAAAGTTGGTCTTGGTCTTCCTGCTGACTTGGAGCATGTGCATGTAAGTTTTGGTACAAATCCATCAAAAATTGCAGCCGTGCATTCGTTACACACACATACACATCCTGCCTTTTATAGATAGAGATAAGTAATGTCACATACTTTTATACTTATACACCTGTATGCCAAAATATGTTGTTTGATCTTTCAGACAGATTTTAAGAAGTGGTCTGAGGATTTTTCATTATCCTGTGTATGTGCATGCGTATGTCATATAAAATACATGTAAAACCTCCAGATCATCCATGTATTTATTTTTTGAATTCTAGTAATATTTATCTTAGTGCAAAGTAAAGACGGTCTGTTCTTTGCCTATGATGGTGAACTGGTATTCTATCTCAGTGGATGTTGATGCAACCACACATATACATCAACATCCACTGAGAGAATACCAGTTCACCATGATAGGCATATTTTTATATACTATATATTAAAACAATATTAAGTTTAAAATTTCTGCATCCTATCTCATTTATTACCATTTTCTCCCATGAATATATATATGAACGTGTGTGTGTGTATGTGGGCCTATGTTGTGTTGACATGGACATTTTCTATGAACTGCCTAATTAAGCAGGGACAAACGAATGTGAACTCCATATGAGAATTAGGCTAAGAAGTTACATAACAAAACTCAATTTTGATTAGTAGATCATCCAGAAGAAATAGACCTGAAAATAGGACAAGAACAGTCTGGCTTTGTTAAAGACACTGGAACAAGAAATGCAATATTTATGTAGAGAATGATATCAGAAAGTGCAATAAAAATGCAAAGGGATGTATACCTATATTTTATAGATTTTGCAAAAGTTTTTGTCGAAGTACATCACAAAGAACTATTTCTAGGTAAGCTTCATATTAGACTAACCCAGAAATAATATTGGAACATAACTGCATGCATGAGGATAGAAAATTAATTCAGTAAATACTTAAAAATAGTGGTGTAAGACAAGGATGGGTCTTATCACCAGACTCATTCAACCATTACAGTGAGTCATGTAGCCGTCATGCCACAAAGGACCCACTGTAACAGGGAAGTCGTCTCTTGTACAGGGCAGTCGTCCTCGTCGGCTCCCTTGGGCCACAACTGTCATAGCCTTCAGACACACTCATTTTATAGACCAGCTGATTGGTTGAGTGGGAGAGTTTTACATATGCATAGGTGCACTCCGCCAATTCTCCCTTCCTCCAACTGCTCTGCGACACCATACACATGCAATGTGTGGGTGTTTTCGGGCATGATGTCACATATCTTGCTCATGACAATCACAAGTCAATCTTCTTAGAATTAGCCATCCAACCAGGATTCATTATTGGTGGCCACAACCTTAAGAAAATTCAATATGCAGATGACAGTTTTGATAGCAGATATAAAAGGGAAATTTCAGGAACTCTTACAGAAGGTAACAAAGGAAAGCAAGAAGAAAGGACTAAGCATCAACTGGAAGAAGATAGAATATATTGTTGTTAGCAAAAGAAATAAGCTAACATGCAAATTACAAATGGGAGATGTCAAAATTAAACACATGGAAAAATTTCCAGTCTGTGTAAACAGGTAAGCAATAACTGAGCAGTACTAGAAATAATAACTAGACAATATCCTTAGACATGTGGGTAGTGGAAAAAGAGCAGTCAATCACTTTAGATTAAATAAATGGTTCAGTTCAGCTTTCATTTGTTGGCTTTTATTGCATTTCATATATTCACACGAGAGTTCATGTTTTCATCGTCTTTAAGAAATATATTAAGTGTGTTTGATTTGCATTAAATTATTTATAAGGGATATTTTTATCTATGTGGGCATTACCTACTCTAAATAAGTAGGCATGGGTTTCAGTTGGTTGGTTTTATATATATATATATATACACACACACATCAATTTGAAATACAACCATTACAATCTACCCAATAACCATTAGGATAATACAATTGACCTTGCTACCCATAATATACTATTGACCAGCATAGATAAATAATAGTCAATACAGAGTATACATGACCTGAAAATTGTGTCTAAACATGAAACAAACTATCACCATTTGGTGTTTCACCTCAATATCCTCTCTCTCTCTCTATATATATATATATATATATATGATAAAATAAAAGAACAAATAGGAAATATATATCAAATCTTCGTCAGAGATTGATAGAAAACAGACAAAAAGACAGAAAACACCAATATTTTCAATTATGTTTGGGTCAGTTCTCATTGGTCAAACAAGTGTCACATGTATTAAAACCATGGTTAATTGTATGTACATGTAGGTTTGTGAATATTTTGTATGTTTAAGTGGGAAACAAATGGTAATTGTGTGCATTTGCCTGTCTGGGAAGGTTTTTTTTTATCTTCCCCTTTGGGTGACCAACTCTTGCAGTGGGTATTTGCAGGGTTCTGATTTTATGGTTCACCTCTTCAGAAATGTATTCTTTGTATTAATATAATTTAGATTCTTTAAAAATTGATTCAGTGGATAGCAATGTACTGTAATGTTTTAGGCATGTGTTTATAGTTGGTAATAATGTTATTATTAAGTTTTCAATGTATTTTCTCATTAAATTATTATGCCCTTTTTTAAATTATGCCTAGCATCATTTTGATGCAAAGTGAGAGAGTTAGATTGATTGTCCAAATGCAAGTCTCTATTATGTTCATAGATGCAGGCTTTTAGATCACATGATGTCTCCCCCATACAAACCTTTTTGTATTGTAAACAATTTATTTCATAAATCCTGGCATTTGCATTGAAGATGGGCTTATTTTTCTCCCTAATTATATTTCCAATTGATTTGAAGGTGGTGATAATGATCCTAATATTAGGGATGCCTAATTTGTTTGAGAGTTTAGTGGAAAGAGTATTGGAGGGCAGAATTATGAATTTTGTGTAATCTCTTTTAGAAATGTTATTGGTGTTGTCTGTTTTTTTGGTTTTGTAGGCTTGTTATTTTGTGTTCTGAATAAAATGATGTGGGTAGTGGAGAAGTTTGAATGTTTTCTAAAAATATCTCTACTTCATGTAGGTATTCTGGGTTGCATATCATAAGGGCTCTAAGGTAAAATCTTATGACCAGTCCACATTTTATTATTTGGTTGTGGTGGGGATAGAAGTTGATTCGATCATGTTTGTTGGTTTACGATATACCTTAAAATCTAATTTCACATTGTTGCATTTTAATATGAGAAAGGTAGAGAATTGTTTATTTCAAATTCATGTGTGAATTCAGTGGTAGGTTCAGCATTATAACATTTCATTATTATGTCTAATAGGTTTGTATTTTGGGGACATAATAAGAGGATGTCATCTATATCTCTTATTATAATAAGGGAGCTAAAAATTGCAGAGTGAAGCCACTTGGCACAGATTGACTTTAGACTATCGCACATAATCACTCACTTCCGTTGTTTATAGTAGTGCTTGGAAGGAAAGTGCTTAGAGTGTGGTTGTCTCACCACACAGAAATTTCATCAGTGACCATGGCTTGTACAGCAGTTTTGGCCACGCACAACATTACCTTGGCCTGACATCACCATAATCTCCAGATCTCGCCCGCTGTGACTTATTCCTATTCAAAAATCAAATCTCACTTGAAAGGGACAAGATTTCAAGACATTGAGGAAATCTAAGTGTATGCAACAAGACAGCTACTCACTATCTCAAAAAAGTAGTTCCAGGAATATTTTCATCAATGGAAATGATGCTGGATAAAATGTGTGGCTTCAGAAGGGAACTATTTCAGAGGAGATTAAATGCTGAATTAATATTTGTTGTAGTTTTATTTTTATAGTACCAGTCTACTATTTTTTGATCAGACCTTGTATATATGTGTGTGTGTGTGTATATATATATATATATATATATATACATTGCAATTTAATCTTTGAATTTCTTCTCAGTAAAGTTGCATATTTCCAGTTGTCACTTTATTTGTGTAAATATATTACTAGCTGAATTTAAACTTTGTGTCTTTTTTACAGTATTTACAGAAATTAACTATTTAGAAAATACTGATTTTTCTTAAATACGCCAAATAAAAGCACTTTTTTTTTCTTTTTGAGATTCAAGTTTAAGTTAATTTCTTGATTTGAGGAATTTGCACCAACTCAATTAGAAAAATTAAAGATATTTTGTCTTGAATTCCTGATACCAGTAAAAGAGAAAGAGAAAGTATGCAGAACTGAGAGACAAATGCTGCCTTTTATTTATACAGCTCAGGATTCGTTTCATGTTTTTCTCTTGGGAAATGTCATGTGATTTGTTGGTGGCAAATGAGTTGAGGAAATGATTTGATCGTTCACTCGGTAGTTCTGTTTCCTTTGCTTGTAACAAGTGATTACTTGCTGTGATAACAAAGAATACGATGGGAGGGGGATGGGTTGATGAGGGTTTGTTCATTATGTGCATTCAAAACTGATTGCAGGTCAGAAAGAAAAACAATGATAAATGATTGGATAAAAAAAAATGATGATGAGTAAATGAGAAAGAGAGGAAGGAAGGGAGAAGTAAAAAAGTAAGTTAAAGAGAAAACATTAGGGAATGAGGAAGTAGGAGGGACAGTAAGAGGTGGGAGGAGAATTAGTGAGGAGAAGGGAGGGAGAAATAGAAAGGTAAGAGAAAGAGTAAGGGAATGAGGGAGTAGAAGAACTAAGGAAAAGAGAAAGGAAGAGTGTGAAGAAAAAGAGAAAGGGGGAATATGAGGAAAGAATATAAAAGCAATGTGGTGTAATTTAATCAAAGAAAAAAATGAAGAAAAGAAGATATAAGGCAAAACAAAATGAGAAATATAGAGGAAAGAGAGCACTAGGGAATGAAGGAGTGAGTTGTATAAGAGATGGATGGAGAAAAGAGGAAAAGTAAAAGAGAGAACAGGAGAAATGAACAGAAAGGTAATGTTGAGCAAGTTGAAAATAAAAAGTGAGTAAAAGAAAGGGAAAAAGGAGATGTGAAGGGTATATAAAGAGAGAAGGAGGGACTTAGAGATGAAATAAGATTATGAAAGAAGGTGGAGGAGAAACTGTGTAAAACAATGAAAGAAAAGAATATGAATAAAGAGTAAAATGGAAAGGAGATTTTCCTATGCTTCTAAGTGTAGATGTTGTTTAAAATTTGTGATATTTATAAGAAAAGAGAGATCAACATTAGAGATAGAGCATTTAAAACAGGAAAAAACATTTTATGATGGTCAGTTTTGAGCTGCAATATGATATTCAGACAATTGACTACAAAATAATCTAATATACAAAGCTATACTAAGATACAAAGGGAGTTCATAAAAAAAGTGCTTATAGAAATAGAGAACAGACAGACAGACCTTGAAAACAGAAATGCTACTAACATGAAACATCTTTTAACAACAGAAAATGTGCAAACAGTACAGCCCTCTCAAAGTATATATGGCAACACAAATAAACAAACAAAAACATGAAAACTAAGCAAAACAGTACCCGTTTATAACAATACCTGAAAATGATGTAACCTTTGCTTAGAGGAGAAAATAATGATAATTACCTAATTGGAACAAGATAAACTTCTAAACAAAAGTTCATTTTCAAATGCAGACATGAAAAGAAATTCTAATTTTGCTATTTACAACCATATCACAACCAAAAAACTAAATAAAATCCCATATGCTTAATCTAAGCTTTATTTTAAACAGCTAACTTAGAACCAAAGAAAAATACAGAAAGGAAAAAATATATATACGAAAATAAATAACATTTTTTGAAAGGGCTTTTAATCCAACATTATTTCTTCTTACTATAAACTTATTTTTAGTGGGTGCACATGTTTGAGTTGCTATCCATGTTTGTTTGTTTTTTTATTAAAGAGTGAAATTAATAACAACAATTCTAAATTGAGATGCCATGCTAAAGAAAAATTGTGCCTCCAGCAGGAATCGAACCTGCATTCCTTTTTTCTATCAGGGAAACCACTTTTTGAGCCAAAGTGTACCTCTACAAGTTCATCCACAGAGACTCGTCTGAAATGACTAAATTGACTATTTAACAAAAGCACATTTCTTGTTGGGACTTCTACAAATCTACATCTACTTGATTTGGTGTTATTAATTTTACTGTTTAAAATAAAGGGATAGCAATTCATGTACATACTAAAAATAGCCTTTATAGTAATAAGAAATAAAAGAAATACATAAATAACTAAAATAATAAATAATAGCAATCTAGAGGTCATAACCATAGCTTATTAGCATAGACAGAATCCAATCACCCAACTAGCATAAACAAGCAGTCTAGATATCATGATCATAACCTATTTACATACACACTGCCTCCAACCACTAAACTAGCATGAACAAGCCATTTAGAGGTCATGACCATAACCAATTTACATACACACTGCCTCCAACCACTCAACTAGCATAAACAAGCCATCTAGAGGTCCTGACCATAGCCTATTTATATACACAATTCCTCCAACCACTCAACTAGCATAAACAAGCCATCTAGAGGTCATGAGCATAGCCTATTTACATACACAATTCCTCCAACCAACATAAATAAGCAGTCTACATATCATGACAATACAGAATGAGCCCTAAACAAAAAACTGGGAAGAGTTTCCTTGTTCCACTACTTCCCTTAATCCCCAAATGACCTATTCACAAAGCCCATTAAATATGTAATGGCACTTGTCAAAAGATTGCATTAAACCATTAAAGTGATAGTGTTAATTACTAGGCCCTACTGCACCTGCCAATCTCTCTCTTTATTTATCTATCTATCTACATACTTTAAAAATTAGCGAATCAGTTGAATCCATTACCGTGCTTTCAACCTTACAGTATTCTCAGGCAATATTTACCAAAAAAAATTAATTTTTGATAAAGGTAGTGGATTCAGCTGACCTCCTGATTTTTAAAGTTAAAAGTTATTTTTACTTTTATTTTATTTTTTCACACTGGTATTGAGCACTTTTTAATACTACTGTTTCCTGGTCTGATTCAACTCTGACCATTAACCTTTTATGTATTATATATATATATATATATATATATACATAAACACACAATGCACAAATGTAACAGTGACTTGTGATAAACACGAACAGCCACGCTCATATATATCATAATTAATGTCATAAAAGGCACACAAACAAAGGAGATGCATCTGCATTTCAGCAGGGCATATTCAGAAACAAGTTTTCCATGTATTGTTGGATGGTATAACAAATATTAATGAAACTTGATGCATGTTTCTGATTTAGCATTCAGTTATAAACTTCTAATATTTTGTCTTCATAATCAGCTGGCATTATTTTAGGCAATATTTATTTTTGAATTCATTATGAAACGCTGCATTTCAAAAATCGTCAACACTTCTGATCGTGCAATACCCTCAATCTTTTGTTCTTCCGCTGATCTCTTTGCCTCATTAATTCACTGTGTAACAAAATTTTTACTTTTTCTGTCTTTGGTCAGTGACCATTATTTCCTAATTACTTCTGTGTATAAACCCCTTCAATCTTTGCTTTGGTGACTGCCATATAAGACATAAATGAATGGAATCAACCATTTATGTAAATAAGCAGTGTTAACCAGAGTTGAGGAGAGTTAGCATTAGTTCACTTGGTTAGTGTATCTTTGTGTAGTAAACCTTCTATTTTATTACTTACCTCTGAGTTTGTCTTCTTTATTTATTTCTCTCTGTTATCCCGAAAACATGAGATACATCAGTGACCTGGACAGAGGGGAAAATAGAACCATGAAATTCAAAATCCCATAAATTTGGAAGAACCCAACTGACCACTCAAGAAATTGCTTCTGCTTGGTGGACGCTTCCAAACATCAAATTAGCAAGAATACACCTTGTCATCCATTGCTACAGTGCCACACTGCCTTGAGCTCCCTGTACCTACTTCTCCAAAGAGTGAGCAGTTGTCTTCAGAAGAGAACAGCAGATCCAAATAGGATGAAGTCATTAATTCTGATTACAGAGGCACAGCTGAGGAGAGAAACTCATACTACCCAACCAAAAAAAACCTCAGTGAACCCAATCAGAGATCTTGGTCTCACAAAGTTCGATGCTGAGCTTTTGATGTCAAAACTCAAGCACAGGAATTTGTTAGATGGAAGTGTACAAGTCGCAGGATATAGAAAGCGTCATCAGTGTTTTTCAAGCTTTTTCACAATTCAAGATGGGCTTTGCTTCTGCTACAATGTGACTGGTCTGTTTGAGGCAGTTGGAATCACCTGTAACCCCAGCGAGCGTCACCTTTTCATTAACAGCTCATCTAGGAGCCTCAAAGCTGTCCTGCTTCATAACAGAATCAAGTATCTATCTCGTCCCTTAGCTTAGCTCAAAGAAGAATATAGCAGTGTTTCCAAAATGACTTTACCAAGTTCCCATTATATCTTTGCCTTTGAGATAGAACAGACATTGTGGTACATTACCACATGCAGGACTGGCCACAGGGGCCTAGTTCAGTGTGGGTGGAATGCCAAATGGGAGTCACTGTTGGAGCTCAGGAAGTATTGTTTCTCACAGTCCTGCAGCCTTCAAGTAAATTCAAGATTTCTTGCCTAAGCTCTCTGTGGCAAAAGTCAAAGCTGGTATCAGATCATACAGTGCAGAGAACTCTTCAAGAAGGAGATAGGGAATAGTGTTGTTACACTAGTTCGAAGCTTTCTGGGGAATTACAAGGCTGAAACCCTATGTGGAGCTTGTTGAGAACCTGGTGAAGAACTATGGCAATATGGGCTGCATATCCTTGTCTTTCATCTTGATAAACTCAAGAACTACATGGAGCATATTCAGAGGAGAAAGCTGAGTGCTTCTACTGGGATATACTGGACTTTGAATGCCACTGCCAAGGATTGCATAATGAAAACATGATGGAAGACTATATTTGTGGGATTGATTTGTTAAAGTAATTTATAGTGTAGTTATAAATCATGAAAATATACTCACTTCTAAATTTTTGTTGTCTCTCTTGTCTAATCCTAGAATAAGTAAATACTACTTTTGAATCATATATAATTTTGTTACTATTTTGCGTGAACGAGAATGTTCTTGTGTAATCCTAGAATAAGTAAATATTACTTTTGAATCATATATCATTTTGTTCCTATTTTGCATGAATGAGAATGTTCTTGTGTAAGCTTAAAATAAATAAATGCTACTTTTGTATCATATATTGTTTTGTTCCTATTTTGTGTGAACAAGAATGTTCTTGTGTAATCCTAAAATAAATAAATGCTACTTTTGAATCATATATCATTTTGTTCCTATTTTGCGTGAACGAGAATGTTTTTGTGTAATCTTAAAATAAATACTACTTTTGAATCATATATCATTTTGTTCCTACTTGGCGTGAACTAAAATGTTAACATTCACCAGTTTTCCCCAATCGGAAAAGGTACATTTCAGAAATATCATTATCTTGGTCACACAAGCAAAGTTTGAAGGAAATGTTAGCAATTTTTCATACTTTCTAGGTGTAAACAAGTAGGAAATAACTGTTGCTAATCTTTCAGTTATAGTTTGTAGCAAATAGTGTTGCTTAAACTCTTACTTCTAAAACAATATTCATGAAGGTAAAATTCTGCACACTCCATCAGTACAACTGAATACATTTATGACATGTAAGCACATCCACTCCTTCAGAAGTCATTCTTCTTTGTTCACTTTGTACAATGGATAAGTTTTCTCTGCCATCTTTCCAAGGACAATGTTTTAGCATTATGGTTACTGTCTTTATGTCTCTCTTTCCTGTGTTGGCAATCTTTGCACATGTTTCCACATCTTTCTTTTCTATTACTCTCATTCTTAATTGTTTCTCGCATATTCCATTTGCAAGGAGGAAGTTCTATCCAGACAGCTTCTTACTATGAACCACTACTTTGTGGAAGAGAATTGCAGAAGGATTTATCTTATTTATCTTCATAATCTTCACGTCTTCCTACCTCCTATCATATTCAAATCATACATCGCATTCAGTAACCTTCTACCTTGA